GATGGTTCTTGATTACTTTTTGATAAATAATTCGTTCTTATTGCGAAATAGGAGCACTATTTATCAATCTGTAATAAAAGACGTGAGGAAATTCTTCTTTTTTAGAGACAAAAATTTTTGAGGCGAAATACCCAAAAAGAAGTTTGTAAAAAACATGTGGAAGATTGCTTAACGAAAAAGTAAATTAAAAGGTTACACATAAAAAAATACTAAGTTCTGAACAAAGCAATTATACATTTTTTCCAATGAACCATTAGCCTATGCCAAAAAGTTTGATTCTTACCAAGGACTAAAGTGTTCATTTACATCAATAAAGCGTTCCAAAGCTTGACTTCAATTCTAGTCTGTATTATTACGCGTTTGAAAATTACGTAACTGCGTATTTGAGAAAACAGCTCAATATTTTCCAGATGAACAACAAGAATAATTTTAGATAAGATCATAAACAATTTTAAAATGGCTTGTCTAGTTTAAATAAGACTCATTAGAACACAAGCATTAAAATCGTTACAAAAAAATAAAACTATTAAATTCTTCTTGTTAATAAAAATTCATAAAGTAAGTATTTCTTGGCCACCAATTGTTAGTGGTTTAAATTCACCTACACAGCCTTTGCAAGCCTAATTCCTTTTAAAAGGGATTTGTTTGAAAAAACTATTTAAATTATTTAAGCAAACTGAGAAAATCCACGTTACACTGATAACTTTGGGCCAAATTTTTGGGATAAATTCTGATTATTGCGAGGGAACTTATTTCAATTTGAAGCGTTACTTACAGCAATTATTTCTCGGTTAGTTCGTGTTTTTGCAATTTTTCTACAGGGTGGCAAATGAAACAATGCAAAATTTGCAAATTTCAACGTTCCACATGCTCTCAGTTGGATAAAAGAACGTTTGCTTGTATTTCAATACCATGGGCATTAAGGTAAACCTTGTACCTCGAAAAAAGTTCTTGAATTGTTTGCTCATCTCCTTTATATGTAGAGCCGTCTCAAAAAACAACTTTTTGGTATTGCAGTAATAATTTTTTTCTTTTGAACCGATTCTTCAAAATCTTAATGTTAAAATCGACTGCAAAATCTAAAACTTTGCAATCGACCATGCATGAATGAACGAAACATGTGAAAGTAAATTTCACTTGTTTGAAAATCTTTCAGATTTACATATTTCTGGGGTAATTTTTTGTGCAACTCTGTATATCGGATTTTTGTAGTCAGTAGCAGTCGGAAGCCACTGGGAAAATGAAATGTTTTACCATATTAAGAAAACACTTGAGAGGAAAAATCCAACAGTCTCATAAAACTTAGGTAAAAAATTAGATCTTTGCCAGCTTGGTCTATCTGGGTTCAAAACGGATAATTTTACTCAAATGTGCTGTCTCCTTTAAAACGTCGAATTTTTTTAAAGTAATCCAAATAGCAAGTGGTTTTTTTCATTGTCTTTTGAAGACATTTGATTAGAACGAATCCGAAAGTTTCATAAAATGTGTGCGGAATTGAGAATTTTGCCAGCTTGGAAAATTTGGGCTCAAAACCGACGATATTAGTAAAATGCGCTCTCTCCTTTAAAACGTGGCATTTGTGAAACTAATACAAATAGCAATTTGAAATTTTCATCCTCTTTTGAGCACATTTGATTAGAAGAGTTCCAAAAGTTTCATAAAATTTGTGCTGAATCCAGAGTTTTGCCAGCTTGGTAAATCTGGGCTCAAAACGGATGATTTTACTCAAATGCGCTCGCTGCTTCAAAACTTCGCATTTTTGAAACTAATGGAGATAGCAATTTCAATTTTTCATCGTTTTTTGCAGACATTTGATTAGAAGGAATCCCAAAGTTTTACCAAATTTGTGCAGAATGCAGATCTTTGCCAGCTTGGTGAATCAGGGCTCACAACAATAAATATCGGTCTCATAACAACGCTTGTTTTCAAATGCAGTCTTTTCTTAAAAATTTCCATTTTCTCGAAACGATTATTCCCACTAAATAGACGATTTATAATGTGATTCAATGTGAGACAAACTTAATATTAGAAGGATCAACAAAGAAAATCAGAAGCAAAAAATGAAGAAACAAACCGCGTGTTTATATGGTCGGACAAGGTGTTGGCGAAACGTTACAACTTCACAGCACGGTACGACAGACCGGTCGGGGATTTTTATCGATAGTTCAACCTAGCCTGGGATGATGGAGATAAGTTACAGCTTTCAAAACACGGTGGGCAAAACAATGGGAGTTTTGTATAGCGCCAAACACCGTGACGACCTTCGGGATAACCGCAAAAATTCCGTTTATTTCGCACATATTCGATTTGAAGCTTCCACAACATTTTTTCTGGTTAAACCAGACAATCTGGCAAAAGATGAAATTCTTCGAATGTCCATGGAAAATAGGTCCAGCGCAATTTGAAACACATGTTTCTACCTGAGGGTATCGATTTCAAAGATCCCCTAAACAGACAACAGCTTGCTTTAAATGCGACTCCAAACAAGTGTCCGCCAAATTGCCCACTTAAACGTCCAGATCGTTTTAATTGAGGATTAATGTTCCTTCCAGACGCGATGGTCTATGAAGTTTTACCTTCAACAACAGTTGAAAAGCATGAAAATCGTACGAAGAGCAGAAAAGTTACCCCAGCAAGATTAACAAGTTGATTTTTCGAGAAAAATTCAAAAACATTAGCTATTTTGGTGTTAAGATCCAAAAAAGATGGATGGACGACTTAAGAGCAGTGGCGGGCATGGATGAGATTTGCGAAGGATAGGGAAGATGGAAACAATTTAAAGAGGCCTACATCCAAGAATGGATACACAATGGTAGATAAAGAAGAATAAGAAACACTAATTCATATATAAAAATTATAATACCAACTATAATACAATAAGTTTTGATGCTGTTAGTCTATTGACTAACGTATCTGTTAACAAAACTTTACATTCAAGCGAACAAAAAATCAAATCAGTCTTTAGAAACGCACACAATAAGTATTAACAATATTTTTCAATTTATTTTCAATATAATTGTAATTAATATCAACTGAATTTCGGAATTTTCAAGGGGCCTTATCAGCTTTATTCAGTAATATATTTTTGAGGCTTTTTTGTTGGGTATGTTGCCTCAAAAATTGATGTTTTTTTAATACACAGAATTTTTAACATTATTAAAAATTCAGTAGTTTTTTCATCATAGATATAGTCCGTGATAACTTCTCAACATAATTTTTTGGTTTTAATGCTGTTTGTTCTATTGAGCATGTGTTGAAAGGTGTTGCCGCAATTATTTTTGACCTTATACAGGAATAGTTTTATTACTAATTATTCAACAGACTGAAAATATCCTGTTTGAGCTTGCCATTTGTCAAAAAGGCCGTATCCTGTAATCTCGTTAATTCGGGTACAAAGGCTATTATGTTAACATCTATTATTAGAGCCTAATTTACATCTCGTAATGACGGTATAATTAACGTAAATAATGCTGAGTTAGGAGGCAGGCAATTCGTGTAATCGATTGATGGTGAACACCACTAACGCTGCACATGTAATTGTAATTTAAAATAATATTGGTTTTGTGTAGAAATTTGCTAAGATCTAAAGAGTGTTTAGAAACTAGACCGATAAAGGGAGACAAGAAAATAGATAGAAGCTCTTCGAAGATTAATGATTTATAAGCACTTCGAACGAAGCAGTAATGCTTAAAAAATATTATGCAGAAAAACAGGTTGATAAAAGTAAATAACACCAAGAAGACGTATTGTTGAAAGCTGAATAAAATGCTGATATTCGTGTGGGAAAGTTCGCTCTTGTGTATCCGAATATTTCAAAAAACATCGTTGAAGATATTCTTCAGAAGACAAAGCTCTATTCTACGCATTTTAGGAAAGGTCGGGAGTTGCAAGAAAACGATGTTTTCCCTTGTATTGAATTTTGTTATTGGTTGCGAAAGTCCTATTTTTTTAATGTTTTGCTCCGTGATGAAAGAAGGAAGAAGAAGAAACCTTCACAAAGGACGACATTTTTCGTATACATAACGCTTATCATCATCAATCAATTTGCATTTCGGATAAAAATGGGAGACCTCAAGCCCTAAAAAAGACAAAGCGCGACAAATACATTTAACCTACATTTTTGGACAGGAGTTCCCAGAATGAATCGACTCTTAATAGCCAGATTGGAAAAACGGCTTACTTTTCTTACAGATCAATTTACCAAGTTTATTAAATTCCAAGTCATTCTCTTGGATATTAAACAGAATCATGTATTTTGCCTTACGGTTGTCCGGTTT